GCAGCGCGTTGCTGGCTTAGTGACGCTTTAGATTTTATTGCTTGGGTAGCAAGTATAACTCTATCTGCACAGGAAAGTAATTCAAGATAAACTAGTTGGGCTATTGTAATTGATAGTAGAAAGCGTTGTGGTCTTGGCAGAGTGATTCGCTCGGTGGGGTGATCCGCTCGGTGGTGGACCACGTTATACGCCTTCTTCAAAGCAGCAAAACAACCCACATCAAGGGGCTGCGTGAGGTGTGATGAGTGAGGAGGCAAACAGAGAGTGATTATCTTGTTATCCTTGCAGTATTGCTGGAATTCAAGAGAGTTGTGGCTCTCATGACTATTAATAATAAGCAAACAGTAGCTGCCAACAGTACGCTGCTTTGTATGCCTGTTAAAGTGCTTTATCTAGTCTAGACCAAGCTTGTTAGTAGTCTAGCTGTTATTAGAGACCCTAATAACCTAGTCTTAAGGCAGTTCCTCTTCTTTGTACTAGGCAGAGAGGTAGTGGTAGGCCTTAAAGATAAGAAAGGCCAGAATGGCCCATCCTTTAGCATTAATGCTCACTATAGCTGTAGCCCACTCCTAGTTACCTAGCTAGACTGCCTTTGGTTGACCTTGTTGTTCTAAAGCTGTAACAACTGCTCCTTAGGAGATCTAGACTATTATGAAGCCTGTTTTGTTAAAGTTGTACGTGTCTTTATCCTGAATGCTATACTTGGCTTTAACATTGGCTACCACGCTAAACCAGCCCTGCAGGACCTCAGGATCCTCACAGAGGGCTCTCTTGTAGTTATACTTGTGATTAAACTTGACCTTAAGCTCTAGGTGTCGCTTAATAAACGTACTAGGCTAGTTTGTGCTAATAGGGCCTAGATTGCGCTCAGCGCGCAAAGAATTGGCCATAGTAGCTACATCTGAGAGCTGAGGGGAAAATCCTCGCGCATCTAGCTTAAGAACATGTTCAATAACCACCTTCTCCTTATTGTTATCTAGCTTCTTTAAGTTTGCTGTAGAATTAGCGCGTAAAGGTTGTCCTGCGTGTTAGTTGCTTAGTGTCTTTTAAGGGACCCTGTAGATAGCTGCAGCGCGTTGCTGGCTTAGTGACGCTTTAGATTT